GGTTAACTTAAAGGTTACCCTCAGCGGGTTCTCTCTTTGGGTTAACTTAAAGGTTACCCTCAGCGGGTTCTCTCTTTGGGTTAACTTAAAGGTTACCCTCAGTGGGTTCTCTCTTTGGGTTTTTTTAAAGGTTGCCCAGTGGGTACTCTCTGTGGGTATCTCTATCCGTGAGTCTGGCTGTGTTCATTTCTGATCAGTGACAAAACGTTTGTAAATATAATTTATTATTCCAACCTAATGCTGATGTGACAGTGTAAAGGTCAAAGGTCAACTATTAGCTGTTCCTCCAATCAGAGCCAAGCAGGAAGTTCAGGGTCAGTAGTAGATTTTAAATATAATGTTTTGATGGAAGTGGAAGCTGGGGGTAACTGTTAGAGCAGGTGAATTTGGTACCTAAAAGGTTCTGTTCACATTAAGGTCTTTTCAGACCCATTCGGATCGTTTGTAGGCACAGCAGAACTTGTTAAAGGGGGTATCCGCACCTTTTACATTTGGTCCGCTTTAAACGGGTCAGACTTTGTTTTCCCCCCTTGGTCAGCTCCATTCAAGGACATGTGAAAGAAATCTAGTGAACCCCCCTTTTTGACTAAGCAACCGGACAGGGAACCACTTTTTTGAGATGTCTTCATCCGTTTCTCTTCTGGTCTGAATACAAACCTGCCTTGCTCTAACCCAGCTATAGAAAGGGTTTATCTCTTTGGACCTAGCATGCCACTGAGGCAGTGTCTATTGCTAAGCAAGGGCTGGATTTGTTTCAGCTAGTGATCTCCAACGGCTCAACTGAGCAACTCTAGATGCTAACAACGGTTCTGAAGAACAGAAGAGCTGCATCAAGGACTACCAGAACCATTTCCCCTTCATGTTCTGTCCTCGTTTTATCATTTCTGTCCAATGGCACCAACCATGGTCACAAGCATCACTTTGTTGTTATGGTCTAATGGCAAAATTTGGTTGAATATGATGGCAAACTGGACTGAGCTGTCTTAAGTACATAACCCACCAGTCCACAGACGTTTCCTCTCTAGGCAGAGGTGGGTCTGGCAGCTTTTGCCTCTGGAATGAGTTTTTCTTTGGTCCTGTTCCTGGAGAAGGTGTAGTAGGTTTAGAAGGTAGTCAGACGTTGGCAAGTTTTGTACGACAACGGAGGGACATGAGGGCCAAAAAGGGCGGGGAAAAAGGGTCCCAGCGTTCTCGCACACCTCGCTCTTCTAGCTGGTCCATTTTCATCAGTCGTTTTTCACATTGGCGGTCATACAAACAGAACGAGCTGGTAAGGTACGAAACAGGAAATACGCATAGTGTAGAGCGGATGTAGATTTGACCACTTAGAGGCCTCCTGTCTGCGGGACTGTCTGCGGTCACCCACATTTACCCGTTCCAACTAGTTTGGCAAAGGCTTGGTAAAAAGCCATTCATTTGATTCAGCTGTGTTGGAGCAGGGATGCATCTAAAACCTGTAGGACAGTAGATCTTGAGGACCAGGGTTGAAGACCACTGCTCTAAGGCATAGCCTGTTCAAAATCACGCTTCATGTTGTTTCTGTTTGAAGGCCTGATGTTGCCATGGCGGTAAAGGATGTGAGTCCTTCACACATACAGGACAGGGGGAGTTATTTAATGGATGGGGTCTAGCGGTGGACCTTGATGGTTCTAAAACCTTTCAGCCAGGTTTCATGCGCAGGTCGGAATGTTTAAAATGGTGCATTACGTTAAACTGTTTAAATCCCCAAAAAACTTTAATATAATATAAAAATGTGTCGCTGTATTTTTTACCTTCTTGCTGTTATCAACGTCTGGTATAACAGCTCCCACTCGTTTATACATTAGACCCAGAACGCCAAGTTCTGTGGATCATTTTTGCAGACCTAAATAAGATTACAGATAAATGAATGGAAAGGAAGGTTATCTATGTTCTCCAGGTTCTGTTTGTTTATTTAATGGTAAAGAGCATCTGATAAAACTCAGATTAGTTTCATAAACAAAAATTCTTTACATTTTTTGTATTCTTTTAGACGTTAATGTGTTAGCTCGATGCTAACAGTTTCCCACTGCTTCTATGTATTGTGCCAAGCTATGCTAGCTTTGAGAACCACCTGGGTCGCAGGCTACTAGCTTTTAGTTCTGGATTTCTGGCTCTCTGGTTGGTTCTTTGGTGCTCATCATATGTTCTTATCGTGTTTTTAGCATGTGGAGCAGTAAAAATGGAAGGGAATGGCCACAGGATCTTTTAGCATGTGTTAGCATTGTTTGTTTCTGTACGAAGAGAATGTGAGGGGCTGCAAGGTTTTCTGTTAGCAGTGTTATAACTGGTTCTCTCCAGATCTCACCGGTTATGACCAGTTTTTTTAAAAACCATTTAGTTCTGACTGGTTAAAACTAGTTCTCCCCGGGTTTGACCAATAGGTTCATTCAGACGGGTTCTAATTGGTTCAGACTAATATTTGCATTTTTTTTTTATGTTTCTACAGATTTTCCGTTATTCTGACAGTTTTTATGTATCTAAATGGTTTCTTCTTCTTACAGCTGTTACATTTTCTAACTGGTTTTCACCAATCTAACCGGTTTCTAACTGGTGTTAGCGAGTTTTTTCTTACATTCAGAGTTCTTGGATTTTCACTGGTTCTTGCCAGTTTTAACTGCCTCCAACCGGTTCTCCTTTTACTTTTTTTTTTTTTTACTGTTTCAAACTGGTTCTTACAGGTTTCTACTCATTCTCTTAGGCTCTAATTGTTGTAGGTTTTATTTAATTTTTTGTTTTACTTGTTTGGATAAGTTGGTCTTCTAAGCTTCCAAATCAGTTCTGATTGGTTTATTTGGATATAAGTGGTACAGATGACTAATTTTGAATAGTTCTTACTTGTCCTTACTGGTTTGACGGACCCAGAGATAATTTTTTCCATGTTTTTTGTATATTTTTTTACGGTATTTTATGGTATCGGTGCCCTATTTGTTAGAACTCGTTGACACCGATACCACCATGTTAGTGCTGGATGGGGGCCCCGCCCAATACTGGTATTGGTGCAACACTACAAAATAACTCAAACTTGTTTGTTTTGTTAAAAAAAACCAACTTGTAATCATTTGAGATCATTAAGAACCAGTTACATCCGGTTTGATCCAGTTCTAACTTTTTAAACACAAGTCAGTTAGATCTTGTAGGAGAACTGCTCAGATGTGGCTTTACAGAGAGTTACTCATGGTTAATTGTCATCAAATCGAACTGGTCAATGTCAGGTATAACTGGTTATTTACATGGAGACTTATAACCACATATTATTATCAGGTACATCAACTTTCAACCAATTAAAACTAGCTAAGCACAGTTATAACTGCTTACAAGGAGGTATTCCCAATTATAGCTTGGTTTTAACTTTACCAGTTATTTACCCCTTCATCAGTTTTGTTCATTTTCTTTTGATCCTAACAAAAGCAGATGATTTATTCCCTGCCTGTGAATCTGTCTTCTTGCAACAATGTGTGTGTTTGATATGGTAAAATGAATTGATTGATTGATTGATTGCAGGTTTTTTCGGTTAGTGGCCGGCCACTGCCTTCCATGATGTCACTGTCTGTTTCCAATCATGCACCTCTGTGAAATAAAGTCAATGAGGTTGAAATGGAAAAAATAAAAGTGATTAAATGGCTTTGTGTGTTTGCTTTGTGGAAAGGGTGGCGCCCCCTGCAGTTATAGCGGGGAAAGAGTGTTAATTGGATTCCTGTGCAGAGGTTTTGATAGAGCAGTTTAGGGCAATCTACATCAGAAAAAAAAGAGTAACACCTTGCTTTCACTCACAGG